GACTCTAGAACTCACCAGCATGTTGACTCTAGAACTCGCCAGTATGTGGACTCTAGAACTCACCAGTATGTGGACTCTAGAACTCACCAGTATGTGGACTCTAGAACTCACCAGCATGTGGACTCTAGAACTCACCAGTATGTGGACTCTAGAACTCACCAGCATGTTGACTCTAGAACTCACCAGTATGTGGACTCTAGAACTCACCAGTATGTGGACTCTAGAACTCACCAGTATGTGGACTCTAGAACTCACCAGCATGTGGACTCTAGAACTCACCAGATGTGGACTCTAGAACTCACCAGCATGTGGACTCTAGAACTCACCAGTATGTGGACTCTAGAACTCACCCAGAACTCACCAGCATGGACTCTAGAACTCACCAGCATGTGGACTCTAGAACTCACCAGCATGTGGACTCTAGAACTCACCAGTATGTGGACTCTAGAACTCACCAGTATGTGGACTCTAGAACTCACCAGTATGTGGACTCTAGAACTCACCAGTATGTGGACTCTAGAACTCACCAGCATGTGGACTCTAGAACTCACCAGTATGTGGACTCTAGAACTCACCAGTATGTGGACTCTAGAACTCACCAGCATGTGGACTCTAGAACTCACCAGTATGTGGACTCTAGAACTCACCAGCATGTGGACTCTAGAACTCACCAGTATGTGGACTCTAGAACTCACCAGTATGTGGACTCTAGAACTCACCAGCATGTGGACTCTAGAACTCACCAGCATGTGGACTCTAGAACTCACCAGCATGTGGACTCTAGAACTCACCAGTATGTGGACTCTAGAACTCACCAGCATGTGGACTCTAGAACTCACCAGTATGTGGACTCTAGAACTCACCAGCATGTGGACTCTAGAACTCACCAGTATGTGGACTCTAGAACTCACCAGTATGTGGACTCTAGAACTCAGCATGTGGACTCTAGAACTCACCAGCATGTGGACTCTAGAACTCACCAGTATGTGGACTCTAGAACTCACCAGCATGTGGACTCTAGAACTCACCAGTATGTGGACTCTAGAACTCTAGAACTCACCAGTATGTGGACTCTAGAACTCACCAGTATGTGGACTCTAGAACTCACCAGTATGTGGACTCTAGAACTCACCAGTATGTGGACTCTAGAACTCACCAGCATGTGGACTCTAGAACTCACCAGTATGTGGACTCTAGAACTATGTGGACTCTAGAACTCACCAGTATGTGGACTCTAGAACTCACCTCTAGAACTCACCAGTATGTGGACTCTAGAACTCACCAGCAGTAGAATGTGGACTCTAGAACTCACCAGCATGTGGACTCTAGAACTCACCAGTATGTGGACTCTAGAACTCACCAGTATGTGGACTCTAGAACTCACCAGCATGTGGACTCTAGAACTCACCAGTATGTGGACTCTAGAACTCACCAGTATGTGGACTCTAGAACTCACCAGTATGTGGACTCTAGAACTCACCAGTATGTGGACTCTAGAACTCACCAGTATGTGGACTCTAGAACTCACCAGCATGTGGACTCTAGAACTCACCAGTATGTGGACTCTAGAACTCACCAGTATGTGGACTCTAGAACTCACCAGTATGTGGACTCTAGAACTCACCAGCATGTGGACTCTAGAACTCACCAGTATGTGGACTCTAGAACTCACCAGTATGTGGACTCTAGAACTCACCAGTATGTGGACTCTAGAACTCACCAGTATGTGGACTCTAGAACTCACCAGTATGTGGACTCTAGAACTCACCAGTATGTGGACTCTAGAACTCACCAGTATGTGGACTCTAGAACTCACCAGTATGTGGACTCTAGAACTCACCAGCATGTGGACTCTAGAACTCACCAGTATGTGGACTCTAGAACTCACCAGCATGTGGACTCTAGAACTCACCAGTATGTGGACTCTAGAACTCACCAGTATGTGGACTCTAGAACTCACCAGCATGTGGACTCTAGAACTCACCAGAACTCACCAGTATGTGGACTCTAGAACTCACCAGCATGTGGACTCTAGAACTCACCAGTATGTGGACTCTAGAACTCACCAGTATGTGGACTCTAGAACTCACCAGTATGTGGACTCTAGAACTCACCAGTATGTGGACTCTAGAACTCACCAGCATGTGGACTCTAGAACTCACCAGCATGTGGACTCTAGAACTCACCAGTATGTGGACTCTAGAACTCACCAGTATGTGGACTCTAGAACTCACCAGTATGTGGACTCTAGAACTCACCAGTATGTGGACTCTAGAACTCACCAGTATGTGGACTCTAGAACTCACCAGTATGTGGACTCTAGAACTCACCAGTATGTGGACTCTAGAACTCACCAGCATGTGGACTCTAGAACTCACCAGCATGTGGACTCTAGAACTCACCAGTATGTGGACTCTAGAACTCACCAGTATGTGGACTCTAGAACTCACCAGTATGTGGACTCTATAACTCACCAGTATGTGGACTCTAGAACTCACCAGCATGTGGACTCTAGAACTCACCAGTATGTGGACTCTAGAACTCACCAGTATGTGGACTCTAGAACTCACCAGCATGTGGACTCTAGAACTCACCAGCATGTGGACTCTAGAACTCACCAGTATGTGGACTCTAGAACTCACCAGCATGTGGACTCTAGAACTCACCAGTATGTGGACTCTAGAACTCACCAGTATGTGGACTCTAGAACTCACCAGTATGTGGACTCTAGAACTCACCAGTATGTGGACTCTAGAACTCACCAGCATGTGGACTCTAGAACTCACCAGCATGTGGACTCTAGAACTCACCAGTATGTGGACTCTAGAACTCACCAGTATGTGGACTCTAGAACTCACCAGTATGTGGACTCTAGAACTCACCAGTATGTGGACTCTAGAACTCACCAGTATGTGGACTCTAGAACTCACCAGTATGTGGACTCTAGAACTCACCAGCTCTAGAACTCACCAGCATGTTGACTCTAGAACTCACCAGTATGTGGACTCTAGAACTCACCAGTATGTGGACTCTAGAACTCAGTATGTGGACCAGAACTCACCAGCATGTGGACTCTAGAACTCACCAGTATGTGGACTCTAGAACTCACCAGCTAGAACTCACCACTCTAGAACTCACCAGTATGTGGACTCTAGAACTCACCAGTATGTGGACTCTAGAACTCACCAGCATGTGGACTCTAGAACTCACCAGTATGTGGACTCTAGAACTCACCAGCATGTGGACTCTAGAACTCACCAGTATGTGGACTCTAGAACTCACCAGCATGTGGACTCTAGAACTCACCAGTATGTGGACTCTAGAACTCACCAGCATGTTGACTCTAGAACTCACCAGTATGTGGACTCTAGAACTCACCAGTATGTGGACTCTAGAACTCACCAGTATGTGGACTCTAGAACTCACCAGCATGTGGACTCTAGAACTCACCAGTATGTGGACTCTAGAACTCACCAGTATGTGGACTCTAGAACTCACCAGTATGTGGACTCTAGAACTCACCAGTATGTGGACTCTAGAACTCACCAGTATGTGGACTCTAGAACTCACCAGTATGTGGACTCTAGAACTCACCAGTATGTGGACTCTAGAACTCACCAGTATGTGGACTCTAGAACTCACCAGCATGTGGACTCTAGAACTCACCAGTATGTGGACTCTAGAACTCACCAGCATGTGGACTCTAGAACTCACTAGTATGTGGACTCTAGAACTCACCAGTATGTGGACTCTAGAACTCACCAGCATGTGGACTCTAGAACTCACCAGCATGTGGACTCTAGAACTCACCAGTATGTGGACTCTAGAACTCACCAGCATGTGGACTCTAGAACTCACCAGTATGTGGACTCTAGAACTCACAAGTATGTGGACTCTAGAACTCACCAGTATGTGGACTCTAGAACTCACCAGTATGTGGACTCTAGAACTCACCAGCATGTGGACTCTAGAACTCACCATCATGTGGACTCTAGAACTCACCAGTATGTGGACTCTAGAACTCACCAGTATGTGGACTCTAGAACTCACCAGTATGTGGACTCTAGAACTCACCAGCATGTGGACTCTAGAACTCACCAGCATGTGGACTCTAGAACTCACCATCATGTGGACTCTAGAACTCACCAGTATGTGGACTCTAGAACTCACCAGTATGTGGACTCTAGAACTCACCAGTATGTGTATCTTGGAGATCTCCCCAGCGTTGGCCTGCAGCAGGGTGCCAGAACTCTGTCTGGTCCGAAACATAAGGCCCACGTACCAGGGCACGGAGATGGTGATCTCTGGCCCATCCCACCACACCAAGGCGTGGCCATCAAACTGCTGGGGGAACGGCATGACTGGAGGACAGGAAAAACAAAAGGACACTTTAGCTTGGGAAGCAACGTCATGCGTGATGATGTGCTGTTGATATTAACATTCAATTAATTCATTGAATTTCTAGGCTTCGTCAAGGTTTCATCCTGGTAACATTCAAAGCACATTCTACTGTAGAATGAGTTTAGCAGTGACGTTTTTCACACTGTCATTCATTGTTAGTGGAAATGGTGACTAGCACTTGTGTGATTCAAAATCATGCCATTATTTATAAAACATATTATTTCAGGGTGGTCATTAATAACGTCTGACACTTGCCATATTTTTTAAATATGTAAAGCCACTTGAGATCTGACTTCCTTTTTACTGTTTGGGTCAGAAAGGTGGAAAACATTGTCTATCAAAATATAAAACATAAAACATAAACTGCGGTTTTAGCTCCATATTAATGCTATTATAAATGAACTGTAAACAAACACATAACTAGCATGGTAAATATCCAATATTACTGCATCTATCAGGCCTGGTCACGACCAATCACACATTTGTATTTCGTTTGCGTGAGAGTAGGTGAAAAACAAGGTTACTCTATTTCTTCCAGTTTTTTATTTTAAACCAGGTAGTCTGATTGAGAAGAAATTCTCATTTGCAACGGCGACCTGAGGAGAAGCTGGGGATTGAACCCAGGACATCACACATACAGAGCATGACCTCTACCACTGAGTTACACCAACTGAGATACACAAACCACTCCAACTCTGTAATCAAGCCAAGCTAATTATCTAAAGTAGGGCTTGGTGTGACTGTGTTTGTGGAATGTTGGAATGTGAAGATTTACAGGAAACTCGGAAACATAGACCTTTACTGTCTGTTTCCTCACCGGGAGTTTTGTGGAGTGTGGCTGCAATATTTGGGGCTCAATAAAAGATGAAACATGAAAACTCAACATTGTAGCACCAAACGTGCCCTGCCGACACATACAGAGCATACAGACAGCCACACAAACAGGAAACCCTCCAACTAAGTCCTGTAGACACACGTTTCCATCCTCTACCTTGTTCACAGTTCTTCAGTCCATATCCCAGAGGACAGTCACATGAGTGTGTAGCCCATTTGTTCACACACACTCCTCCGTTCAGACACACACTCTTAGTGCAGAAGTCCTTCTTCGCTGTGCAACCTGAATACGGACACAAAGTAATACGTTAGTCCGTGGCTGACAGACGGGAGCAAAATAAAACCACTAAATATGGTCAGATAGTGCAAACATATTCCCAAATGCCCTAAATATAAATCTGACGGTCAAAAACAATGTGGAAGAAGAGAGAGCAAAAGGTTCCGTATTTACCTATGTTTGGATTTAAACTGATACTGATAAAATAAATAAAATGTAATTTGATGTTCCTCAGCTGTCTCACAATATGAGGTAAAGACGTTCCATTTGGGGTTGGAACCAACCTGCAGCTGTCTCACAATATGAGGTAAAGACGTTCCATTTGGGGTTGGAACCAACCTGCAGCTGTCTCACAATATGAAGAAAAGACGTTCCTTTTGGGGTTGGAACCAACCTGCAGCTGTCTCACAATATGAAGTAAAGTTGTTCCATTTGGGGTTGGAACCAACCTGCAGCTGTCTCACAATATGAAGTAAAGTTGTTCCATTTGGGGTTGGAACCAACCTGCAGCTGTCTCACAATACGAAGTAAAGTTGTTCCATTTGGGGTTGGAACCAACCTGCAGCTGTCTCACAATATGAGGTAAAGATGTTCCATTTGGGGTTGGAACCAACCTGCAGCTGTCTCACAATATGAGGTAAAGATGATCCATTTGGGGTTGGAACCAACCTGCAGCCGTGCCATTGTTAGCTACATAATTGGCCATGTCCACAAGCTTGTTGTCAACTGTCAGGTCTTTCATACAGCCCACAAAGTCTCGATTCCGGACGGGAAAATCCTCCGGCAGGTTGGGAACGCCGCCGAGTAGCAGTGGCCCGGTGAGGTCCAGGGACCTAGAAATATACATTACATTACATACAGAAACCAGGCTAGGAAATAAATTACATAACATACAGAAACCAGGCTAGGAAATAAATTACATTACATACAGAAACCAGGCTAGGAAATAAATTACATAACATACAGAAACCAGGCTAGGAAATAAATTACATAACATACAGAAACCAGGCTAAGAAATAAATTACATTACATACAGAAACCAGGCTAGGAAATAAATTACATAACATACAGAAACCAGGCTAGGATATCCTGTTTGATATTGTTTTCACTGCGGAGTTCCCCCTTTAGCCAACCAAGACGTATGTACTCTATGTTCTAAGTCTTCTGCGTGCAATAAGGACGTAACATGTCAAACAAAATGGCCTCTTACTTATCGGGCTGTGCAGTGTTGCCTGATGGGGGAACAGCTTAAACTTGAAGACTTTGAACTCACTTCTTTTGTCCTGTCTGTGTGCCTTGGGCCGCACAAGTGTAGTTCCCGATCTGGCCACCAAAGTCAATTGCCATGGCGATGTCACAGTCATCTACAGCGATGACAGCCACCTTCTCTCCCGATGGTCCGTGAGGGATGCCATGGCGACCAATATTGGGCTGGAAACAGAGGGTGGTCAAAAGAAATGGAAGGAATACAACTATTAATGTATTGCAGGAATATCTATTCAGCCACAACAAAACAAGTACACATCCTGTATCTCTTAGAATCTTAGAAGGGCAAACGCTTCTGGATGACTAATTAAGCTACTGATTAGAGTACTGACATTTGAAGATACTGACATTTAAAAAAAAATGACATTTTCATTCACATTTATTGAGACAATTGTTTTTCTTGTCTTAGTGCAGTTAGCATTGACTGAGGTAGCATTGACTGAGGTAGCATTGACTGAGGTAGCATTGACTGAGGTAGCATTGATTGAGGTAGCATTGATTGAGGCAGCATTGATTGAGGCAGCATTGATTGAGGTAGCATTGATTGAGGTAGCATTGATTGAGGCAGCATTGATTGAGGTAGCATTGATTGAGGTAGCATTGATTGAGGTAGCATTGATTGAGGTAGCATTGAGACCTTGGTAGCATTGCCTGAGGCAGCATTGACTGAGGTAGCATTGAATGAGGCAGCATTGAATAAGGTAGCATTGAATAAGGTAGCATAGACCTTGGTAGCATTGCCTGAGGCAGCATTGACTGAGGTAGCATTGAATGAGGCAGCATTGAATGAGGCAGCATTGACTGAGGTAGCATTGAATGAGGCAGCATTGACTGAGGTACTGGAATACTTATTTGATTTTGAGAGGTCCACTGGTGGGGGAGACATTCCATAGACGGAAAAACACCTCCAGTGGGAAAACTGTTTCCAGCAAACAGCTATGGAGGTATCATCAACCAACTGCCAGCTTTAAATCCCCCTGCAACTTGACGCATGACAATGTCCTTTTTTCACACTATAGTATTTACACCAGACTCACATTTTCCTCTCAGCCGTCCCAATATGGCATTGTGTTTAGTGGCCTTACTTTCCCCTGTTTGACTGTGTGTGTGTGTGTGTGTGTGTGTGTGTGTGTGTGTGTGTGTGTGTGTGTGTGTGTGTGTGTGTGTGTGTGTGTGTGTGTGTGTGTGTGTGTGTGTTTGTGCGTGCGTGCGTGTGTTTAGTGACCTTTTATCTACTTCCTGTGGAATGTACAAAGCCAGGAGGAAGAGTGCAGGTGTGAAAACAGGAAGTGGTACAATGTTGTTGAACAGAGATAGTGTCTGTTTCTAAAGGTGGTCCGATCTCATTGCAATTAGTTGTCTCCGTAGTAGAAATATATGGCTGTAGTTAGAGTACAAATGTGTGGAAATGTAGCCTGCAACAGTCCAGACATTTCAAAAACAGTCATTGCAGTCTAGAAATAAATGAATACATATTGACACTATCAACTTTGGAATTTTCTCGTCTTCCTGAATGGGACTGATCAATGACGACATTCCAGCTGTCAAAGACGTCCATCGGGTGTTGGGATCCAGTTTCAACTAACTGATTACTCTAACGGGTTGACGTGATGTTGTCTTATATAGCAGACAAAGGTGGGTTGTTTTCTGGAAGCATATTATAATGCAGTGAAAACACTACAGACAACTCCAGTCAGGAATTAGGGGGTTAGTATAAATCTCTGGAGAGGCATCTTTAGTTAGTTGGATTAATATCTATGGTTGCCTGTGATGGTGGGACACTACGAGCCTTCTGCCATTAAACCCTGTGTTTGCTGTTAAGAGGTGGTGTTTCTGCCAAACAGCACTTCTGATAATTCTCCACACACTATAGACATAATGCAAAACATCCACGATAAAGACCTCCAATGTACAATATCAAATTAGCAGTCTAAAGTTGAATTAAATTAGCAGTCTAAAGTTGAATCAAATTAGCAGTCTAAAGTTGAATTAAATTAGCAGTCTAAAGTTGAATCAAATTAGCAGTCTAAAAGTTGAATCAAATTAGCAGTCTAAAGTTGAATTAAATTAGCAGTCTAAAAGTTGAATCAAATTAGCAGTCTAAAAGTTGAATCAATTTAGCAGTCTAAAGTTGAATCAAATTAGCAGTCTAAAAGTTGAATCAAATTAGCATTCTAAAGTTGAATCAAATTAGCAGTCTAAAGTTGAATCAAATTAGCAGTCTAAAGTTGAATCAAATTAGCAGTCTAAAGTTGAATCAAATTAGCAGTCTAAAAGTTGAATCAACTTCTATTGGACAGCAGAGACATAATGCTAGATTACTGTTGAAATCAGACACATTTCCCTGTCTTCTATCTATTGGACAGCAGAGACATAATGCTAGATTACTATTTCCCTGTCTTCTCTCACTTACTCATTAGTTGGAAACACAGGAGCAACACCATGAAATATCATGCCTTGACTAATAGACTGTCACTTTGGAATGTGGTTCAGTGTCATCTAGAGGCTCGTGCTTCATGTAGACATGCTGGACAATAGACAAGCATAAAGTAAGCAGGACCAGATAATAGACACTGTTAGGTTTACAGAGGTGAACAATGAATGACAGGACGCAATTGTACTAAAACGCCTCAAGTCTTTAGGAGTCCTGAGTCAAAAACATTAGTATGTGACATGTAGCTCCTCTGTTAACTGAGAAAACATTAGTATGTGACATGTAGCTCCTCTGTTAACTGAGAAAACATTAGTATGTGACATGTAGCTCCTCTGTTAGCTGAGAAAACATTAGTATGTGACATGTAGCTCCTCTATTGGCTGAGAAAACATTAGTATGTGACATGTAGCTCCTCTATTGGCTGAGAAAACATTAGTATGTGACATGTAGCTCCTCTATTGGCTGACAAAACATTAGTATGTGACATGTAGCTCCTCTGTTGGCTGAGAAAACATTAGTATGAGACATGTAGCTCCTCTATTGGCTAAGAAAACATTAGTATGTGACATGTAGCTCCTCTATTGGCTGAGAAAACATTAGTCTGTGACATGTAGCTCCTCTATTGGCTGAGAAAACATTAGTATGAGACATGTAGCTCCTCTATTGGGTGAGAAAACATTAGTTTGGGGGTGTGGTTTGATTAATATTACACAGATAATGGCTGGTCTCAGACATTACACATCAGGTCATGCCAAGGTATTTTGGCAGAATACTCCAAACCCCCTGGAAGACTTGTTATTATAAACTGGTTTCAAATTAATTGTTATCAGTAAAAAGTGATGTAAGCATTTAAAGCAGCA